AATAACGCGGTGTGATTTAGTTCTCTCTTTTGGTAATTTCTTGTGAATTCGCTGTACAACTTCGGTTCAAGGTATATTTTGAGCTTTCGGGAATTCCGAGATGCATCTTTGGATTCAGCACGTCGGACACCGTACAGAATTTTCTCTGGATACTTTGGAAAGTTCCATATAGGGAATTGCGCCGACTGACACTCGAATTTCATTCGTCAAATAGTAGTTGCTCGCACTGTCGAGGTCGTATATAAATTCGCTTATGGGCTGACCGCTACACACAGAGAAGGGCCATTCAAAACTAACCCCAGAATGCCCGCCACGGTACTCAATCTCATCCAACTGGACACTGTGGAGATTGATATGAATGTTATTTTCGGGTTAATTTTTGCATTGTAGATGCATTTTTCATTCGTATTTTAAGCGCCTGACTTAGCTGGGTTACGTGTTCTCTGTTGCTTCAATATCCCATCCTCTAGTGCATAGTGCGGGGTGGATCTTGTTGAACAAGTTCGTCAGCATAGAGTGTCCTATTAGTGTTGGGGTGACAATTTTCCACTTTCAGCAGGACGAGTATTACGCAGAATGATAACTGAATCTTTCTTATTGATTTTTTAGGCGTAACAATTTCCTCTCGCCTGTCTTTGGTAACAGAACAACAGGTTCATGGCCGTTTGCTGGCTTTGTTAGGTTTAGGAGGTGTAGGTGGGGAACCTATTAGGGTGGGGAGGTGAATTTCGCGTTGTCTTTTGCCGGGGTAGTGGGGGGTGTGACCGCCCATTAAATCCCCCCAATCCGCTTTGTGCGATGCCTGTTCGCCGCGCTCATTAAGTGGCAATAGTCATTTTAGGGAATGTTTTGAGAAAGACTTACGAAAGGAGGAGGGCAAAGATTTTCTATACTATACGTAGATTTTTGGTTGCTTTATCTTAGAATAGTCGGTGGAAAACTCGAGTTGCAAGTAGAGCGGTTATCTATCCGGGTGGTGGCCCCGAAACATGCTCCTCTATTCGCCCTTGTGAAATGTTCATGATTTTTTTGGGCATTTGCCAAGATGACTCGCAGGACCCGATAAAGTGCGCCTGCGAATATGCTGCATTTGTCGGGCCACGTTTAAAAATTTTATGAACTATAAATCGATAGGGCGGATCTTATCTGTTCTCCAATCTTGCGCTTTTAAGTTGAGGGAGCTTGGTGGCGGGTTTTGTCACTTTTGTTTATCTCAAACACTTCCCCTTTACCGGATTACTGCCCAGCAAAACTTTCAAGTTTCATTTTTATTCTTTCGTCTTAATGTGCCAAACTTTGTCTTGGGGTATTGGTTACCGAATATGACATGCACTTTTGATTGCTGGCGTATTTGCGCCGCCATATTGGCGCCGTTGGGCGGCCAATTTGGCGTAACGGACTTGTCTTATCACCAAATCTGCTAGACTTCGTTCATTTGGAGATTATTTGGGTGGTCGGGGCTGATACGGAAACGACACCCGTTTGGGCATGGCGTTCATCTACGTATCACGCAAATCCGCTGAAATGGGTTTCGCTGGCGGTGAGTGTTGTGGACTGGGGTTAATAGAGGTTTAGGGTCCTGGGACGACGAAGAATAACTTTAATCAGTCTATGGAAGTTCTGCTGGATTCAACAAAACAACACTCCGCAGTACGTTACCTCTTTGGGCACCTTTCTCGTAGAGCGCCGAACTGTAAGACTGTGGAAAAAGTATCGTACTGATGAGCTTTTGCCTTGAGAGCGAGCCAGAAG